TCAGCTTGTGGCATCAAACAGGATGACACTTCCTAAGAAGGGAGGCAGGGGCACAGGGTTAGGACCGGGAGCTTTGCCCAGCAGGTTTCTGTCCCTTATCTAAGAAGAGCTTGGTCCTCTTTCCTCACTGGTTTGATGTAGAGAAGCCCATGGAAGAGAGTGTCCGGAAGGAAAGTGTTTCCCTGCCACTCAGCACTCCCTTGGTATTCTTGAGGTTTGAGAGACAGGTGCAGTTCTCGTCTGGGTGGGGTCAGAGCCTTCTCCTCAGCGGACTGGCTGCTCACACACCTCACTTCCCACAGTGTTACCGGGACTTGGCTCTGGTGAGTCGTGATGGCATGAATATTGTCCTGAATAAAATCAACCAGATATTAATGGAGAAGTACCTGAAGTTGCAGGATACCTGCCGTACTCAGGTAAGGCCAGAGGAGGAGAGAGGATCCAGGGGCAGAGTGTGAGCTTAGTGTGCACAAGGCCCTGGGTTTGATCACACTGTCCCCTTTCCCCCAAAATGAGGATCCAGCCCAACGAAGATGAGGAGGGAGAGAGGGAGGGATTGGGGCCAGCACATCACTGCCCGGCGGACCTCCACGGTGCGCCTCCGTCGGCCCTCGGGCTAACATCCCTGTTCCTTACCCCCTTCTCTCTCCTCTAGTTGGTGTGGTTGGTTCGGGAACTGGTGAAGAGCGGGGTTCTGGGAGCCGACGGTGTTTGCATGACATTCATGAAGCAGATCGCAGGTGAGTTAGATGGCGGGGCACGGCGCAGGGGTGCAGCGGAGGCTGAAGTCCGGGTGGAAGGAGTGAATCGACACACGCCGGACTCGCTTGACTTCTCTTCTGATGTGGACATCTGCCCCGAGGGTCACAGGAAGAAACTGACTAAAAGTGCTGGTATTCTTTTGAAGCAGAAAGTGTCTATTCCACCCCTGGTGTTGAAGACTAGAACCAGGACTTCATGCATGCTCAAGAAGCACTCTGCCACTGAGCTATGTCCTCCACCCTTTATATATGTGTATATATATATATATATATTTTTTTTTTTTTTAATTTTTTTTGGGGACTGGGGATCAAACTTGAGTCCTTTCATGTGCAAGGCAGACAGTGGAACCACTGAGCTAAGCCCCCGGTGCCTTAACTATATTTTTTAAAATCTTTGAGACAGGATCTCACTGAGTTGTCCAAGTTGACCTCAGACTTGTGATCCTCCCTCCTCAGCCTCCCACATTCCTGGGATTATAGGCAAGTGCCACCTTGCCCAACTATTAAAGCAGTAAATCTTTTGGTTTTTTTGTTTTTGTTCTGTTTTGTTTTTTGGCTTTTTGGAGACAGGGTCTCTAATATAATTCAGGCCAACCTTGAACTCGCTGTGTAGCCTAAGCTGGCCTCAAACTCACAGTATCCTCCTGCTTCAGCCTCCAGAGTACAGGGATTACAGGCGTGTGCCTCCGTGCCTGACTTAAAGCAGTAAACCTTGCCTTGTTTTCTTCTGTTGCCACACCGAGTCCTGACAGTATTTTAGACAGCATTCTCAGGTTTGATGGTGCAGTGGGTCATAAAGGTATAGGGAAGCTGGGCATGGTGGCGCACGCTTGTAATCCCAGCTCTTGGGAGGCTGAGGCAGGAGGATCGCTGTGAGTTCGAGACCAGCCTGGGCTACATAGTGAGTTCCAGGTCAGTCTCAACTGCATAGTGAGGCCCTATCTCAAAAAACCAAAAAAAAAAAAAAAAAAGGTATAGGGAGAGACTTGAGGGCAAATAAATTTGTTCCCGTGTCCTTATGTTTCAGAAAACCTAGACATTTTCCCTGGCTCCACCTTATGTTTTGAGCACTGGCTTTATAGTAATATGTCCTCTAATGGGGCCAGTCTGAGGGACACGTGATGTTACAGAACAGACCCTGACATTTAGGCTTTATTGCCCTCATGGCATTGGTGACAGGCCTGCCTGGGCAACCTCTTCTCTCAAGACTGCATGTCTTTGTTTAACAATGACCTCAGCATTTGCCGTTGGTGCCTTGCCTCTCTAGGGGTGTGTGTGACACTGATTCCCCTGTCTCCATGGCCTGTTGTGAGCCTAGCCCAGGGCTTGGCCCTCTACATGCCGGACATCGCAGTTGCCTGCCCTCTGTCTTTCTCAGACCCTATTTCAAATATCACCCTTGGGCCAGGGATTTCGCTCAGTGGTTCTGCCGTCTCCCTCGCAAGCACAAGGACCCGAGTTCGATCCCCGGTACCAGACCCACCACAGTGGGCATCTCATTCTCCTGGTCTCAGACCTTTCCTTTTCAGGGCCCAAAATGTTCCTACTCTGGCTCCAAGCTGTGGAAAAGTAGCAGCTTTGATTTTGGGAAAACTCCAGAACATTTCCTTCCTTTCCCTCTGGAGGCAAAGGGGGGAACTTGAAAGACTGACAGATGAGAAACTAGTTCCTGCAGCATGTAGGACAGCGGTGATGGGACAGATGAAGAGATGGATTTGCTGACTTGCTGCATTGTGCTTCTTCCTTTTCCCCTTGGAAATCAGGCGGAGATGTGACAGCCAAGAATATCTGGTTGGCAGAAAGTGTTCTGGATATCCTGACGGAACAGAGGTAGAGTTTCCCAGGCAGGGTAGGACGAGAGCCAGATAGGGCCACAGGGGCTGTGATTGTGGGTGTGGGGATTATCTGCCCAGGAGGACCCTGAGTGAGGGAGAGGATGGCAGGGTGGATGCCATGACGTGGCCACAGGGTGAAGGGGTGGGAAAGAAGGGCCCTGCTAAAATATCTCAGAGCCCAGGACAAACTTGTTTCATCTGATAAGGGTTTATTTTCGATCCAGACCTCCTTGGAATGTTTATCTTTGGGGGAGGTTGGGGCAGGGAATGAGCTCAGCAGAGGGGCTGGCCAGCCAGCTGGGCCTGGCAGGTACCGCTCCGTCTCTTCAAGCCGAAGTCCAACACATGCTCTTTGGCCGGTGCAGGGCCAGGTGGGCCAGGAGCGGAGTGCTCTAGTGCATCCTGTGGGTCTGCGCTAAGGGCCCCAGGCTTCCGAGATGGAGAGTGCACGGGGATATCTGCTGTCTGCTTAATCTTTCCCTTCCTCATCAAACTGAAGGGCCAGAAATTTTATGAGGGCTGTTCCCTATGTGAATTTGGGATTAGATCATCCCTTTGGTCCTATGACCTTTTTTTTTTTTTTTTTTTTTTTTTGGTACCGGGGATCGAACTTGGGACCTTGCCCTTGTGAGGCAGGCGGCAGAACCACTGAGCTAAATCCCCGGCCCTGTGACCCCCATTCTTTGTATTAATTTGTATTAATTAAGACTCTCTGTGCAAGATATCACAGTAGTCACATGACTGAGAGGGCTGATAGTCTCCATGTTTCATGTGGTTTGCAAGAACAGACCTCTTCTTGCCAGGTGTGGTGGTGCACACCTGTAATCCCAGCACTTGGGAGGCTGAGGCAGGAGGATCGCTGTGAGTTCAAGGCCAGCCTGAACTACATAGCAAGACCCTGTCTCAAAAAAAGAGAAAAACAGACCTCTTCTCAATGTAGGCTTGAGAAAAGCTGCATCACTCTGCTCAGGTTTGACAGCCATGCAGGTTTGCTGTGCAGTGCCACCTAGTGCTGTGGGCGTGGATGTGCAGCTGCACTGGGCCTGTGCCGTTTCTCCGGCCCAGAAGATCCTGGCTGTGTCTTCCCAGCTTTTCTGCCTCTCTTGGGTCTGTTTCTTTGCTGTCCTGGGCCAGATGGCTCTCTTCATCTCTGTTTCTCTTCATTATGCCATTCCAGGATTCAGATACGGTCATCACCTCAGCAGTCTTTCCAAAATGTGATTTTTTTCTCATTCTGCTCCTGGTGCCAGATACCTTCTGTTCCCATACCTTAAAGCTGACAATTGGTAGCCAGTTAACTGCCCTACCCTTGCCCTACTCTCTGAAAACTCATCTTTTGATGAAAGTGAGTACCTTGGAATTTTACCTATGTCCTTTCTTCTTCAGTACCCTAACCCCTTGCAAGTGTCTTTCAGGCTGAAAGAATAGCAGGTAGGTGAGGCGCCCCACCCCCACCCCATCTCCTCGCCTAGTGTTTTCACTGTGTGCAAGGAAAAGGCCAGAGTCTTTTAATTAAGTGGCCTGAACATTTTTCCAGAATCAGGATGTTGCCTGGTTGGATTAATTAAACTCCTTGTCTTCTTCCTCCAGTTCCCTTCCTTCCAGCAGGGCTGCCAGAACCGTTGCAAAGTATACTTGCTTGAGGGAGACTGCTCTCGGTTTGGGCGTGTGACAGCAGATTATTTCTGGGGATCTCTCCACTGTGTTGTCTTTTTACCCCCTTTTAAAGCAGCAGGGAAGAAACTCTTTGATTACCTCTGTTTTCCTTAGAGACATTCTAAAACTCCTAGGAAAGTAGACTTTGCCATTTCTTCTTTTTTCAGATTGTGATTTAGAGCAGGTGACTCATTGTCTGGGTGGGGGGCAGTGTCAAGACAGAGCCAGGGACAGGTTTGTGGCTTGGTGGGCTGCTGATGACAAGTTTGAAGGAAGGGCTGGCACAGTGCTCTAAGGACCCCAGGTGCTGACAGGGTCTGGGGCCTCCCTGGAGGGCCACGCACCACACTTGGGAACTGTTTTCTTAGGGTGCCTTCCCTCGTGGCTGCGCAGTGAGAAGCTGTGCTTGTCTCTGTCCTGAGTAAGCTCATACTGCTTGGTATGCGGTGGGCATCAGTAAATGTATGAATGAGTAAGTCGACAGAATCATTTTATTGGGAGCTACATAAATAAGTAGCTATATGTAAGGAGTTGTTTTCATTTAGCTGTGCTTGCACTGGTTGATTGATAATAGCCTAAGCAAGTGAGCAAAAAAAATTTTACAGATAGCCTCTTCCCAGTGTTTGGTCGTCAAGCATTTCCGGGACACAGGAGCCAAGTCCAGGAGGGTGGTGAGAAGGGTGATAAGTCCGGGAAGCGTGTGGGTGCAGCGTCTCCCTCCCTGCAGGGAGTGGGTGCTGAAGAGCAGCATCCTCATCGCCATGGCTGTCTACACGTACCTCCGCCTCATCGTGGACCACCACGGAACCACCCAGCTCCAGGCCCTGCGGCAGAAGGAAGTAGATTTCTGCATCTCACTGCTTCGGGAAAGGGTGAGGGAGTAGGGCGGAATCACCGCTGGGGAAGTGAGGCCCAGGATGGGGTTACCCTTAGAGGCTGTGTGCACCTGGGCCAGAGATGCCTAAGGACTGGTGTTTTCCATCACCCTTAGGTGATGGTAGAGTGGAGAGGAATCAGAGTGGAGTGGCCCTACTTCCTAGAATGGCACCTCTTGTGCTAGCATCCTGGGGATTTTTCTGGTTAGTTTCTTTTTTTCTTTTTCGTTTTTTGAGACAGAGTCTCACTGTGCAGTCCAGGCTGGCCTTGAACTCAGTATGTAGCCCAGACTGGCCTTGAATTTTCGTTGATCCTCCTGCCTCAGCCTCCTGAGTGCTGAGATCTCTGGCATGTGCCACCATAAGCAGCTCCTGGTCAGTTTGAAGGACACTCATACGGTGGACACAGGCTGTGTACCCACTGCTGCACTGTCCCTCAACCTACCCACCTGAGTAGTTGCCATGATCAGGTGGAATATCAAGTTGTCTACTGTCATCTTCCAAAAGAGAAAATCCCTATGATTATTATGTTGAACATTGTGTTGGACAAAATGAGTTTGAGGTAGTATGTCTGGGCCGGCTTGCTGGCCCTGTCCTTTTGGAATTTTAGTCTCCCTTGAACTGTACCAACACAGTTTTTGGCCACGAGGGGAGAGGATTAAAGTGAAAATCATCAGGACTTCAGCACCTCTCAGTAAGCGCTCATCCTTGATGTCAGCCCCCACCTTCGGCTCTTCCCCGAACAGCTAATAGTCGGTCCCCGCTTCCAGAAGAAATACAGTTCCACCCCCTTCATTCCCTCCCTAGAACATGTTGTTCGTTTGTCTCCCCTCCAGGAGGTAAATAATCCATGTTTTTGCTCTCTTTCCCGTGTCTCCCCTTTTTTTCCTCCTCCCCCCATTAAGTTCATGGAATGTTTGATGATTGGCAGAGACCTGGTAAGACTGCTTCAGAATGTTGCTAGGATACCAGAATTTGAACTGCTTTGGAAAGATATTATCCATAATCCTCAGGCCTTGAGTCCTCAGTTCACAGGTAAGTGCCTAGACTTCCTGTCCTTGAGGGGTGACAGGTCAGCATGTGTCTTGGATGAGGACAGAGACTGGGTAGCAGAGCTTGGGCAGTCAGATAGAGGGCGCTCGAGATAGACTTTGCCAAGCACAACTGGATACGGGATGGCAGAGGCGTGGAACTGTTCATCAGGTTCCTAGACAGCCCCTCCTTGGCAGACTCCAGCTGTCATTCCTCCGAAAAGAAAAGTGAGAGAGAACTGTGATCCATCCTCCTCCTTTCCTGGTAGCGCCTTGGCTCAGGAGGTGAGTTAATGACCAGTCTTCAACCTCATGGGGTCCGGAAGAAATCAGAGGTCAGCTCGAGAGACTGAGTCAGCAGAGAGGCTGCAGTTAGTCCTGTAAGCGATGGCCCCTCCCTGAAACAGTCCAGCCTCTTCACTGCAGGGATCCAGTTTGACCTAAATCCTACTGAAGGGACAGAGACTCCCTGTGCCTTTCCCAACGAGGTCCTTTCCCGCCTTTTCCCTTTCCCAGGGTGCTGCAGTGGTCCGAACAGGAGAGACAGCCTTGTTCCCACCCACTTCCAGTACGTGCGTGCACAGAGCACGTACACAGACTGAAAGCAGGGCACTAGGGAAGGAAGACGTGCTGGTGCTGCCTGATGACTGCACCTCCTCACACTGAGCACAGATCAGCTCACTTGACTGCCTGCTTTGTGTTGCTCACTTACCACTCTTAATCCTCAGAGCAGCCTTATGAGACGGGCATTTTACTTCCCGCAGTCAACAGATAGAGAAGCTGGAGTCCCGAGGGATTGAGTTACTCGCTCCTGGCCACGCTGCTCCGCGTGACGGAGGCAGTCTCTCTGACCCGAGTGTGGCCGGGCCACAGTACGCCAGTTACAGGGTCTGGGGTGGGCCCCTCAGGAAGACAGACTGGGCTTTCCTGTGTTCTCCCCTTAACTTTCCCATCTGTTGCCCACTACAGTAATGTCGATAGGGAGAGGGTTCTAAAAGCAAGCAGAAGGAAGGAATTACTATGGCTGGGATTAGGTCAGTTGGAGCAGGACACACCAGTTAGAACACTCGTGCGCCCTCAGGCTGGCCTGTGGTCTTGTCTTAGAAGCTCCCGGTGACCACCGGCTGTGGCACCTGCTTCCAGCTCCCCACCTGCCTTCCCCTCCTTCCCGTCTTCAGGCTGCTCTCCTTTCTCTTCCCCTCCACACGTGATTCAGGAATCCTGCAGCTTCTTCAGTCGAGAACATCTCGAAAATTCCTAGCGTGTCGTCTAACGCCAGACATGGAGACCAAGCTGCTCTTCATGACGTCCCGGGTACGCAGACCTGTCGCAGTGGGGAGACGCGCTAGACACGTGTTGGGCTTCTGGCTTCGGTCTGCAGACTTGTCACCTTTGGGCGTGACGGGGTCCCTGATCTCTTTGTTCATTCTTGCCTACACTTTGTGTGCTGTGCTGAGAAAAGAGGTGCAAGTCCAGTTTTGGGGAAACTTTCAGCTTACCTAGAGGAGTCATTATTCCATAGTTCTGTGTGAGTAATATTATTCACAAGTGTGCGCTGTGCTGTGAAAGGGCCGTGGGAGGAGTGAGGATGAAGCTCATTGGTGCACTGCTCTCCTAATGTGTATGAGGTCCTGGCTTCCATCCCCAGTACTGCAAAAGAAATAGGTCGAATGAAATGTACAGCCGCAGAGGAACTGTGCAGCTTCCTGGGTCCTGGGTCCTGAAGAACCCCCGCCCCCCCAAGAATCTGATTGAGGAATCTGTGCTTTTAGCAGATTCCTCAAGGCACGCCCTCGGTAGCCAGTCTGTCATTAGAGAATCTGAAAGGCAGAGTTCAGATTTCCCAGGTCACTCAGAGCTGTCACGACCTGTGCTGTGAGAGCCAGGCATGGTGGCGCACGCCTGTAATCCCAGCATTTGGAAGGCTGAGACGGGAGGATCACCGGGAGCCAGAGGCCAGCCTGGGCTACATAGTGAGACCCTGTCTTAACAAAGAAAGATGTAGGAAAAAAGGGAGGTCTGGGTCCAGACTAGAGGTAAATGGTACTCATTTTCCTCTGTTCAGGGACCCCACCTTCCCTCCCAAACTCCTTTTTCCAACATCCCTTTCCCCAGGTACGGTTTGGTCAACAAAAGCGGTACCAAGATTGGTTCCAGCGCCAGTATCTGTCAACGCCAGATAGCCAGTCTCTACGCTGTGACCTCATCCGCTACATCTGTGGGGTGGTGCACCCTTCCAATGAAGTGCTGAGCTCAGACATCTTGCCTCGATGGGCCATCATTGGTTGGCTGCTGACCACGTGCACAGTAAGGGGCTACGCCGGCCGGAGGCAGTAAAGGGCGCCCTCGCCCACTCGAGCCGCTTCTGACTCTCCAGGCCACCTGAGCCTCGAGGGCCTTCTTTACTGCAGTCCTCCTTATTTAGGCTTTCGCCCCATCTCCCATTGTGTCTCTAGAAATTTACTTACACTCGGTTTCTTATCTGGGTTTGGGATTGAATACTCAGAAAAGCTTGGCTTTTTAAGGAATCCCTGCCTTTTTCCCTTTAACTTCTAGAAAGCACCTATAGTTATTCCTGATTTCCTCCCCCTAAATTTGGGGCTTGCATTCTTGTTTTGCTTTGTTTTTGTTGTTTTTTTTGAGACAGGGTCTCACTGTGTGGTTGAGATTGACCTGGAACTCACTGTGTAGCCCAGGCTGGTCTCGAACTCACAGCGATCCTCCTGCCTCAGCCTCCCGAGTGCTGGGATTACAGGTGTGCGCCACCACGCCTGGCCTGGGGTTTACATTCTTCATAGATCCTCACCTCCACGCCTTTTGGCATCAGCTTTGGACACTTCCCTTCGTCAAGTGTAATGAACCTAGGAAGGACCCATTTTCTTTCTGGCATTTTTCTCCCGTCACTGGGAGTCAGTTTTCTCTATCCAGCTACCCCTGTCCTTTTCTGATGGGGCCCCTCTCCCATCTGACCAGGTCTTGGAGATGTGCTGATGTGTGGGTGTCAGCAGACTATGCCTAGGGGTCTGTCTGTAGGAATGTGCCGGGGAAGCTTGCTGGGGCAGCGCAGTGCGAATCGGAAGGTTGCCTCAGCTCAGAGTGATGAGTGGCCTTCTACAGCCCTGTGTTCTCCTAGCAGGTCAAGGATGGGTCTCGCTGGGTGTGTGAGGAAGCCAGGCCAGTCCCTGTCCCTTGGTTGGCAAGACCACAGGGTGCTCATGTTGCACAGACTTGGGTGTCCCTCAGCCCTGTGGGGTTCCGCCCAGTCTCACTGGGAATTGGATTTCATATATGGAGCCACCAAGTGGGTCCTGGAATCTGCCCTGGCCCTCCATGGGAATGGAGAGGCCTTGGTTGATAAAATTAGCTTTTTCCCCCTTTCTTTTCTAGTCCAATGTGGCTGCTTCTAATGCCAAGCTGGCTTTGTTTTACGACTGGCTGTTCTTTAGTCCAGACAAGGACAGCATTATGAACATAGGTATGTGACGGAGCCCGGGCAGCACCATACCCCCAGCCCCCTACTGCCTGTCCTGATGACAGCAGTCATAGATCTCGGGCAGCCTGGTGCGGGGCCGCTTACTGGCGGCAGTTCCGGTGTCCCTCAGCAGCTCTCCCTTGACCTAGAAGGAAGAATGCTTTGATGAGGCCACGCAGGGACTCCACTCCTTCCCACAGCCGTCGTCTGGGCTCCGGGTGGGGAGGGCAAGGCACAGGACAGCTGTCCATCTCGGCTGTGCTCTCCCACATCCCTTCTGCAAGCAGAGTGCTGGGCCTGAGCGCTCGTAGGGGCTGTCTGTCCTTGGGTCTGCTCGTGCCGTGGGTGGAGGCGTCCGTGTGTGCCGACATCCCGCTCTGTGGGGGTGGGAGCAGTGTCTGATGGGGGACCCTTAATCCCACATCCTCTAGAGCCGGCCATCCTGGTCATGCATCACTCCATGAAACCCCACCCAGCCATCACTGCCACACTCCTGGACTTCATGTGCCGAGTGAGTGCCCAGCCTCTGCTCCTCCTGAATGTCAGCTGCCTCCTAGTGCTCCCACTCCCGTCAGCGAATCCGTCCCTGCCGTGTCCTGTCTCGGGTGGAACGGTCCTTGTGTCCGTAGAATTCTCAGACACAGAATGGCGACTCAGGGTGGACACTCGTCTCTTCAAGGAGCAGCCAGGACCGCTGAGCGCGCCGGTCCTCGGTGTCCTTGACCAAAACCACAGTGGCCTTTTAGGTCTAGCATGCCAGAATGCTCTGCAGGGAGAGTCCTGTGCTTACTGTGTTCTTCTTCCCTTCCAGATCATTCCCAACTTCTACCCACCTTTGGAAGGCCACGTGCGGCAGGGTGTCTTTTCCTCCCTCAACCACATTGTGGAGAAACGGGTCTTGGCGTAAGGAGCTCACCGGTGGGGTGGTGGGGGCACTCGCAGTTCTCCTCGGTCAGCTCTGCTAGGTCAGGCACTGCAAACCTTGCCCTGCTGCTGACCTCTCAACAGCTATGAAAAGCAGCAGCTTTGCCGGGCGTGGTGGCGCACCCCTGTAATCCCAGCACTCGGGAGGCTGAGGCAGGAGGATCACTGTGAGTCCGAGACCAGCCTGGGCTACACAGTGAGTTCCAGGTCAGTCTCAACTACACAGTGAGACCCTGTCTCAAAAAACCAAAAAAAAAGCAGCTTTACCTCTGCTGCTGGCTGTATGTCTTCTTGACTCTTCAAGGACTTTTCCCTCGTGCCCTTGTATGACAAAGGCTTGACGTGTCTTCCTGTCCCCTGTTGGCTCCTTGGAAGGATCTGAGGGTGGCCCAGTTTACCGCAGGGGCTTAGAACGGTCTCTTACTTTCACGTTCAGTTACAAATAAGGACATCTGATGCTGACTGTCCTATGTGTTCCCTCAGACACCTGGCTCCCTTATTTGACAACCCTAAGCTGGATAAAGAGCTTCGGGCCATGCTGAGAGAGAAATTCCCCGAGTTCTGCAGCTCCCCCTCCCCGCCTGTGGAAGGTACGGCCGCCCGCTCCCTGTCAGGGTGTCGGAGGGCGGGCGGGCGGGCGCCCTGCTGAGGGTGCTGCCCCTGGGGAGATTCAGTTCTGCTCTGTTTTGAGACAGGGTCTCGGCTCTCACTCTGTAGTTCAAGCTGGGCTTGAACTCACTGTGTATCCCTGGCTTCCCTGGAACTCACAGTGACCCTCCTGCCTCGGGTTCCCTGTCTTCATGCAACCTGTCTCCCTTCCTTCCTTCCTTCCTTCCTTCTTTCGTACCAGGGATCAGACTTGACACAGGTGGCGGAACCACTGAGCGGATCCCTGGCCCCCTTCGTGCAATCTTGTCTTCTCACTCATTTTTCTTGTTCACGTATTCTTTTTCATATATAAGTAGAAGGTAACTTGTCACACTTTAACTTTGCCCATCTCTTTTTTCTTATACAGCCCTTGGCCTTGGCCCCTGAGGAGAGGTTCTCACGTTGGGTCTCACACTGTGCTCCTGATTCTGGAGTGCCATCTCCCCCGTCCCCACTATTTCATTTTGGGATAAGGACTTAACCCAAGCACTGCTTTACAACTTGGGTTTTTTGTTGTTGTCGTTGTTGGAGACAGGGTCTCACTCTGCAGTTGAGACTGACCTGGAACTCACTGTGTAGCCCAGGCTGGTCTCGAACTCAGTGATCCTCCTGCCTCAGCCTCCCGAGTGCTGGGATTACAGGGGTGCGCCACCACGCCTGGCTACAACTTGGCTTTAAATTAAAGAGCACAAGAGACATCTGTACCCTTAGGATACCCAGTCATCTTGAGCTAAGTAAGGAGGACTTGTGTCCTGTGCTGTTCCTGTACCTGGGAACATCCCCAGCCCATCACAGAAGGTTGTAAGGAGGGGGTGGTCTGTCCTGCCAGGGCCAGTGCCCTGTTGAGGGCACATCCGTGTCCTCCTGCTTGGCCTCCAGTCTCCCTTCCCAGAAGCACGGGGCACTGAAGGGCACAGGACACACTTGGCGCCTCTCTCTCTTTCCTCCCAAGTCAAAATGGAGGAGCCAGTTTCCATGGAGATGGACAACCACATGTCCGATAAGGACGAGAGTTGCTATGACAATGCAGAGGCAGCTTTCAGTGACGACGAGGAGGATCTCAACAGCAGAGGTGAGGCCAGCAGGAGTGGCTCGGGGCCACCAAGAGGACTGGGTCATGGGAGCAGCTGTGAGCTGTGAGCTAGTGTGTTAGCAGGGCTACTGGTGAGGCACAAGGACGCCGAGCAGTGTACCTGCCGAAGGCAAGAAAGAGGGTGCGAGGGTGAGGACGGGCCAGGGCCTGTGCGCGCTCGGGTGCTCACTCGGTGCTGAGCAGGCTGTGAGGACGGGACAGGCGGCTCAGCCCGGCGGCGGCAAGGAGACTGACTGCTGTCCTCAACCACTTCCTTCAGGGAAGAAGAGAGAGTTTCGCTTCCACCCCATCAAGGAGACCGTTGTGGAGGAGCCAGTTGATATCACCCCTTACCTGGACCAGTTGGACGAGTCGCTGAGGGACAAAGTACTCCAGCTCCAGAAGGGGAGGTGGGTGCGGGCTGCGCTCCCGCCTCTGAGATCCAGCCCGGGCTCTTCTGGTGTCCAGGGTTGCGGCGGCAGGACCTGACGGGGGACTGTGGGGGTGGGGATTCGGGGATGAAGCCCCTGAGAACCACAGAAAGGTAGATGGGGCTTTCCCTGTGTAGACCTCTGCCCAGAGAGCAGCAGATTTTCTTCCCCACAGCCTCCTCCACCCCACCAGGTCTTACACAGAGCTCCTTTGTTCTGTCTGTGCACGTGAGTGTTCGTGCTTGCTGCGCGAGCTGTGTGTCCTGCCCTCCGCTGTCATTTATGTCCCTGGGTTTCCTCTTGCTTCTGTACTGCAGTGATACGGAGGCCCAATGTGAGGTCATGCAGGAAATCGTGGACCAGGTCCTGGAGGTGAGGAGCCCGTCCCTCCGGAAGGAAGTAGCCCAGGCTGCCCGTGCAGAGCCAGCTCCCCCAGTCCCCTCCTTTCCTCCCCAAGATGAGCCCACCTGACGGTGACAGGGTGTCTGCCAAGCCCAAAGGGGGAAGCGGATAAGCTCAGAGGCCGGGGTCGCGGGTACAGGGAGTCAGGCTCGGGTCTAGGTCGTGATCGCCCCTCCCCTCCCTTCTCTCACCACCCAGGAAGACTTCGACTCCGAGCAGCTGTCCGTCCTGGCTTCCTGTCTGCAGGAACTCTTCAAGGCCCACTTCCGTGGGGAGGTGCTGCCTGAGGAGGTTACGGAGGAGTAAGGCTCATCTTCCCTGAGCCCGGGGCCTAGCAGCAAGAAGCGTACTCCCACAGCCCGAGTCTAAGATGCACCTTGCAGTGTATTTGAGAAAGAATCTGTTCACTTGGTTTTGGATTCTCATGCCTACTGACTCACTGAAATGAGGCTTTTATCTGCTTGGGTGGTGGACTAGACTAGCATTCTAGCCCTGCTTCAGAAGGGGTTGGACCCTGGCCTGAACTCTCCCTGCAGGGCCAGAGTCTCACCTTCAGTGGCAAGGACAGTTTGAGAGCATGGCTCAGGAGCCGGCTTTCTCTGGGACAGCAGCACGTCTGCCCCTGGGGCTGTAAAGACACAAGCAGGCAAACAGCCTCGAGCTGCCCCTGCCCGACGACACCCCCGTCACCTGCCTGCTGCGCTGTCCTCCCTCACGGGGCTCTCGTGTGACCTTTCCTTTGCAGGTCCCTAGAGGAGTCTGTCGGGAAGCCCCTCTACCTCATATTCCGGTAAGCGCCCAGGGGCGGGAGAGACTGCTGTGTCCTCCGTCCTCCCTGACACCGCAGGCCCTGTCCTAGGGCACGGGGCTCCCTTGCTAGAGAGCCTGCTACGGTAGCAGCTCTCCCCCCTGCCTCTCCAGGAACCTCTGCCAGATGCAGGAAGACAACAGTAGCTTCTCTCTGCTTCTGGACCTTCTTTCTGAGCTGTATCAGAAGCAGCCCAAGATTGGCTACCACCTGCTGTACTACCTGAGGGCCAGGTGGGTGAGGAGCCCCTGTTTCTGTAGGTGTGAGGAAGCACCTGGAGAGCCAGCCTCTTCTGGTGCACTGTCATCACCAGCACCCGCCATGTGTTTGTTCTGGTGCTAGGGATTGAACCCAGGATCTTATGCATGCTAGGTGTCTGTCTGTCTGTTGTGATACTTCAGACTGAACCCAGGGCCTTTTCAATGGGCTCCATCCACAGACCACCTCACCTAGGCTTTTTGAGCCCGGGTCTCAGAAGTTACTAGATTGTCCAAGCTGAGCTTGACCTTGAAGTCCTCCTGCCTCAGCTTCCAAGATTATAGGCATGTATCACCACCAAGCCCAGCAAGTCCTATTTTTTTTTCTAATAGCTTTAAGAGATATAGTTCATAAAGTTGACTTTTTTTTTTTTCCGGTACTGCGGATCGAACTTGGGACATTGCATTTGCCAGGCAGGTGCAGTGTCACTGAGCTACATCCCCAGCCCTTAAAATTGACCTTTTAAATTATACAGTTCTGCCAGGTATGGTGGCACAGGCCTGTAATCCCAGCACTCAGGAGGCTGAGGCAGGAGAATTGCCTTGAGTTCAAGGCCGACCTGGGCTACATAATGAATTTAAGGTCAGTCTGAAGTATAAAGTGAGATCCTATCAAAAAAACAACAGAACGTGGTTCCGTGGTTTTTAGTGTCTTCACAAGTTACACAAATGTCACCAATGTCTAATTAAAGCACTGTATCACTCCAAAAGAAACCCTCCTGGTGATTAAGCCTGGGACCTTGACATGCCAAGCACAGACTGCTCTGAGCCACCTGCAGCCTGACCCATCACTATTCTGATGCTGCTCTTTAAAGCACATATGTTCATACTGGGAATTGAACCTAGGGCCTTCACACTGAGCTACATGTGAACCCTTTTTTTTTTTTTTTTTTTTTTTTTTTTTCATGGTT